GCCGCGGACGTTGTTATGCTGTTTCTCGGAAGATTGAACGCCATGCCGCGCCGCGCCGCGGCCGACCGGGACGCGGATAACAGATTAACGAGATACGAGGTGTTTCACGGTCGATGATTCCGCTCCTAATCGATTACGTATTTTTGACCGTTCCCGCCGTGATCGAAGCTTTTCGTATCGACCCGGCGGATCGGCCGGCGAAACCGCGGGACCACGATATTCCCGCGATATTCTCGATTTCCCATAAATGAACGGCCAATCAGTTCTTAATGCTGCGCCGTCGAATAATCTGGATGTTAGATCGTTCCGTGTTTTCCGCCTTTGTCGATCGCTGATGCGAGCATATTAGCCGCGAACTTCTTCTATTTTCCGTGCTACGATGCTCTTTCACACCGGTAACACCAGTTCGGAACGTTTCCAGACTTTAATGATCGTCACTGGAACTTAGAAGCTGCTCGATTCATAATCCAGTTTATTCATTAATGTTGGACGCGTGCGATATAAACTCTTGATCGGTCTGAAGATTCTATGATAACGATGTGCTTGCGCTGCGTAACTCTTTTAAAAATACAGAGATGGACTTACAACGATTATACGGGCGGTTATTGCAAGATTTGTTGTTTGCAGGGTAGAGAATGGTAATGAAATCTGTAATCCTTTGAAATTGCGGGTTTGCTTTATAGAGCAATCGCGCCGGACTCAATATGCTCGTAATAATCGTATAAATAGAATTATGTGTAACTTAAAACAGTATTCCAATAGATTACATTTTGATTGTTACTATTATTATTATTATTATTATTATTATCATTATTATTATCATTATTATTATCATCATTATTGTTATTATTATCACTATTAAATTCATCTAGTGCTTTGTATCGCAGCAAATTGACATCTGCAACATTTCAGGAAATTCGAGTCACTTTGAGTGCACCAAAAGATCGAGTTCAATCGAAGGGTTTCACTTTTGTAGAATCGTTCAATCGATAGGGAAAATTGTGGCGACGATTCGTTGAAACAGAATCGAAGTCAAGCTCCTCGGAATGAAGTCGGACTCGTTGGAACAAAGTCAAGTTACAGGAAAAGGAATATATGAGTGAGCGTTTACCCGTATATACAAATAAATGAATAGATCGAACAAATAAATTAAATTAAATCGATTCGCGGGACCTTTGACATCCGAATTTCTCAAAGATATTGGAATTTGAAGTTTCGAATTGAATTCTGAATTCGAACTGCGCGCTTCGAACTCGTAATCGATTTTTTAACTCGATTTTCGAAGTCCGTCGTTAAATTTTTAAAGTACCCCGTGAAATTTCAAATCGAATCTTGAAATCTCAGAAAAATTTTCACATTGCAAGAACAATATTGTACTTTCTACTGTGATTTGTACCATGAGCTTCGTCATTTTTCAGTCGTTTAAATAACGATTCAACTTCGACAAATAATGAATAAATTTGTCGTCGTCCACTCTATACAATACGAAACAGTGTAAAAATACGTAACTTCCCGACAACATTTCGTACGTACGATTTAATGCGAAATAATCTCAAGGGAGATCTAAATTGCTCGAAATAAAAAAGAAAACGAAACTCTTCCCACTTGAGAGAATACAATATTTTACGTGATCGATCGCCATGGTAGAACGATTCTATGTCAACAAGATATTCTATAAGCATATCAGAATTTAAATTTAAAACAGTATTCCAATAGATTATAAATTTTGATTATTACTATTGTTATTATTATTATCATTATTATTATCATTATTATTATCATCATTATTATTATTATTACTGTTATTATTGTCACTATTAAATTCATCTAGTGCTTTGTATTCCAGCAAATTGACATCTGCAATATTTGAGGAAAGACGAAACCACTTTGAGTGCCCCAAAAAATCGAGTTCAACCAAAGGGTTTCACTTTTGTAGAATCGTTCAATCGATAGGGACAATTGTGGCGACGATTCGTTGAAACAGAATCGAAGTCAAGCTCCTCGGAATGAAGTCGGACTCGTTGGAATGAAGTCANAGATCGAACAAATAAATTAAATTAAATCGATTCGCGGGACCTTTGACATCCGAATTTCTCAAAGATATTGGAATTTGAAGTTTCGAATTGAATTCTGAATTCGAACTGCGCGCTTCGAACTCGTAATCGATTTTTTAACTCGATTTTCGAAGTCCGTCGTTAAATTTTTAAAGTACCCCGTGAAATTTCAAATCGAATCTTGAAATCTCAGAAAAATTTTCACATTGCAAGAACAATATTGTACTTTCTACTGTGATTTGTACCATGAGCTTCGTCATTTTTCAGTCGTTTAAATAACGATTCAACTTCGACAAATAATGAATAAATTTGTCGTCGTCCACTCTATACAATACGAAACAGTGTAAAAATACGTAACTTCCCGACAACATTTCGTACGTACGATTTAATGCGAAATAATCTCAAGGGAGATCTAAATTGCTCGAAATAAAAAAGAAAACGAAACTCTTCCCACTTGAGAGAATACAATATTTTACGTGATCGATCGCCATGGTAGAACGATTCTATGTCAACAAGATATTCTATAAGCATATCAGAATTTAAATTTAAAACAGTATTCCAATAGATTATAAATTTTGATTATTACTATTGTTATTATTATTATCATTATTATTATCATTATTATTATCATCATTATTATTATTATTACTGTTATTATTGTCACTATTAAATTCATCTAGTGCTTTGTATTCCAGCAAATTGACATCTGCAATATTTGAGGAAAGACGAAACCACTTTGAGTGCCCCAAAAAATCGAGTTCAACCAAAGGGTTTCACTTTTGTAGAATCGTTCAATCGATAGGGACAATTGTGGCGACGATTCGTTGAAACAGAATCGAAGTCAAGCTCCTCGGAATGAAGTCGGACTCGTTGGAATGAAGTCAGGTTACAGGAAAAGGAAGAAGGAAGTTTATTGTAAAACGCTCTTCTGTGGAGATATGATTTGGAAAGTTAAAGTGTTTACTGCATGCGACGTACCCGCAACGTTCCAATTCTCGTGCAAGACCAGTATAATATTCGCGTGACAGTCGTGATTTTACGTTCTACGCTACACACCAGAGTCCCCGTATTCTCATTTCGAAAAGTCACAGCGTGCGACGTTGGAGACTTTCGAGAGAATCGCTCATCCTAGTTCTCCCGTGTTTCGGGGTCTATTCGAGGGTACGGATTACGCCGTGGAATGGCGTAATCGCGTCTCGCGATGATCGGCAACAGTGAAAGTGTTAAATCTGTATCGAACTCCAAGTAGATTGAACCATCCATAGCCAGACGCGCGCTGACTGTCTCAGAATCAATTTACCCGAAGGAGACCTACATCGATCCGATCGACAAGACTTTCACGGAACCTGTTTCACCGCGAGGTATATCTACAAAATTCTCTGAATGATATAAATACACGTATACACGAATGAAACAGTTCACGAATAGGCAGAGATTCGCAAGTAGCCTATGGTATCGATGAAAACGAGAAAATAATTTAGGAAGATAATTTTGTAAGATTTCGAGGTTGTCAATGGTGTCGATAGAAGAGATGCATTTTCATTCGAACTACAGTGATGTCTCTCTAATTGCTCAGATTGTCCACAAAAATGGATAATTAGGGAAGAGGAGATACGATTATTCGAGCCTTGCTGCACGTTTTTATAATTGTCGACAATTCGTAACTATAAAAACGAACCGCAAATAAACAGCTTCGCGTAGGATTGGCCTCGAAATATTCTAAACATCTTGAAATTTGAGAATATGCTCTTGTTTTCACTGAAATTACAATTTAAATAGCCAGTGGTCGCTACTTTTTACGCGCGACGAGTATATTCGTCGCGACGCAAAGTACATACAGTAATGTCTCTCTAATTGACGCTCAGATTGTCCACAAAAATGAACAATTTAGAAAGAGGAGATACGATTATTCGATTCTTACGGTCCATTTTTACAGTTACGAATTGTCAAAAGCTAGAAAAACGAACCGCAAGGCTCGAATAATCGTTTCTCCTCTTCCCAAATTCTCCATTTTCGTACACAATCTGAGCGTAAGCATAGAGTAAGCAATCCGTGCGTTGGCGTAACCCATTTCCTTTTAAATGTACACACACACAGCTACAATTCCTAGGAACAAAATATTCTCACTGTAGCACTTTATAAATATAATTATTATATTAACTCTTTACATTATAATCTTTATTTCAAACGATAAATTTTTAAATTTAAAATTACTAAAAAATAATAATAATCATCAAGAATTGCACTGTATAGATTAAGTCGCCTTGCGACTCATTCTTATAGTTGTTGACAATCGGTAACTATAAAGACGAGCAGCAAGGCTCGAATAATCGTATCTCCTCTTCCCAAATGGTCCAGTTTTGTGGACAATCTGAGCGTCAATTAGAGAGACATCACATATTCGTCCAATTACCCTCCAACCGATGGCGTACGCGACTTTGACGTCTAATAGATCCGCGAAACAAGCTACGAAAAATTCTATCACCCTACGAAGGCTAAATCACATTTAGAAAAATGTCGCACAATGCGATACACAGTCCACGAATCGTATTTCCCGCTCGACGATCAGCGAGGATTCGATCTGGCTGCCGATCTCGATAAAAATGACTCATCGGAAGCCGAAGAGTTGCGCGAACTCGGCGGAAGAAAAAGGTAAATAAACCGATAACGGAGAAGCTAAAACGAAGAGAGACCGCTGAAAGATTGAAATTACGCGCTCGAAATCGGCCCGAAGGAAGAAAGAAAAACAAAAATCGTGACAGCGAGGCAGGAGTAAGATTTTCAGAAAAACAGCGGCTCGTTCCGGCAAGGACGACAAAAAGTATGTACCGTTGGCTTCGAACGACGAAAACTCCCGGTGCGGACGGGAGCCCCGCTTGTGCACCGTTGATCGCGCTCGCGTCCCCTAAAGCAACTAGAGCGTCGTAATAAAAAGTAATCACTTACAATCTAATGTTCCAGTCGGTCCTGGTGGCGGCCATGGCTGGTCCCGGCGGTGTCCGCGCGACCTTCGTCTCGCCCTCGAGGATAAAGAAGAGAGAACCAGTCCCTGGAAACTCACTGGAGCGGGGTCTCTCACGAATCACAGTGCACACTGTTTGTCCACCGTCGAAAACGAAAGCGGCGGGGTTACGGGGTTACGTGATCGGTGACTAAGAAGGTAGAACAACGCGGTTATCCCGTTCACCACCGATCGATGGGGGTCCGGTCCACTGGACGATCGGCACCGGTCGATATCGAGAGCACTTCCCAGCTCGGAAGCGGGCGCAGATCGCAGAGCGGTTTCGGTCCGTGTGGCCGGGAGCGGTTCGAAGAGCTTTCCCGCCTTTGGAATCGAGCTGATCCTCGATCCACGATCCTCGATCACGGAGAACTCGCGCGGTCGCCTTCGCGATCGGCTCGGCCGAGGATGATGACAGCCGCCGACCTGTCTGCTCTGCGAAGGCTAGGCGTCCGAGAACGGGCTTCCTGTGCGTGATGCACGAAAATGGAGCAACGTGCGTTCTGTGCCACTGTTCTCCGTTCTCCGTAACACTCTGCCAGGATATCCGCGCGTGGCTGCTCGTCTTCCACGGCCGCGAAAGGTGGGAAGATGAGGAGGAGGAGGACGAAGTAGTAGAAATAGAAGAGGTTACTCCGTGGTGGAGGCGGTGGTGGTGGTGAAGGTAGTGCCTGGTGGAAGTGGTGACGACGGTGGTGATGCTGGAGGTGGAGGTGGAGGTGGTGGTGATAGTGGTGGTAGTGGTGGTGATGGTGGTGGTGGTGGTGGTGGTGGTGGTGATGGTGGTGGAGGTGGTGGTGGTGGTGGTGGTGGTGGGTACTCGTGAGAGGATCCTCGCCGTGTGGAGTACTAAGCCGTAATGACATGGTCTAGGAGATGCCAGTCAGTTTTGTAATAACGCCCGTAAAAAGTGAATTTCCAGTCGAGGTGGGGAAACACGCCTAGGGCCAATCCGAGAGCCCTCGGGTTCGACAACGCGGCCAATCGGAGCGCGACATTCCGGAGCTCGAGGATTCTTCGGCATTTTTTTTCCACCGGCCACGGCGGACCGTTCTTTCGGATTTTTAAGGATCGACGGGATTCCGAAGCTTGGGCAGCGACAATTCGGAAACATCCGTGGATCGCCTGAATCGGTCTGTTCCTCTCTAGGTGGCTGGTAGCGTGTTTCCGAAAATCCGACGATTCGGGTCAAAGTGAACTTTCGATTCCGAGTGACTTAACTCTTTGAGTCGTACGATTTTAAAGAAAATGAAAGCCCGAGTCGCGCAGAACATGCCGCTGTAAAAGACAAGAATTCGCTGTACCACACAATTCGACAAGCTTAATGACAATAATGATTGTTTGGCTTCTTTACGTATTTGCCTTCGCTTCGCATCATTGCCAACTAATTAAAATATTAACCGTTCGAGTCCCAAGCAACGCGATCGCGCTGTTCAGATCTGTCGCGATCAAACTTTAGTGACGCACGTACATCGCATAGCTGCTTTTTTTCATTTGTTTTTCTTTTTGCTTTGCTTGTCAATCTTGACGAGCGCTGTCGCACCGCTTGGTTCTCTTCGCAATCAATTAAGACAAGCGCTATTACGCTGTTCGCCACTTTTCGACCGTGTTTTCTGAATAACCCCTGGGACTCAAACGGTGAAACTGTACAACAATGAGTAACTTCAACTTTTCCGGATGAGTTAAAATATATCCCATAAAAGGCATGAAAAGCTGAACGAAAGGAGAGTATCAGTTTGACCCCAAAGAGTTAACCTTCTAGCGGTGACCAAATCTTTTTACAGCTTGTTTTGCATACCGAGCAGACGTCGAAATGACGCGCGCCACTAATTAACCAGTTAGCTGTATTTGACGAGTATACTCGTCATGCGTAAAAAGTAGTGACCATTGGCTATTTAAATTGTAATTTTAATAAAAGCAGAAACATGTTCTCAAATTTCAAGACGTTTAGAATATTTCCAGGCGAATCCTGCACGAAGGTGTTTACATTGTTAGAAAAATAAAATTAGAAAAGAATCACGATATTGATGTTCGACGTGTGCAAAGTGCTAATATATATCGTTCCTTGCTTCCTTGCTTGCTTTTCTTTAACTTTCATAAGTATTTGATGTTCCCCGCGTTTTTCGTTTATTGTGTATGTAGTATATGTTAACGTCAAGTGAATAAGTAAATATTAATAATAAAATTGTTAATTTTATCAAATGAAACCGTCTTTTTGATCCAATATTTTAACAGCAACGCTTATTCTGTGTTCGACGAGTATACTCGTCATCGCTTACCTCTCGCGACACATATAGGTACGCGATCCAAAACGGAGGCGCCACAGCCAACTGGTTAAAGGTTAAAACTCGAGCGATCCAAGAATTTACACGCGCCTGGATCATCCTAGGAACTGAAACAGCAGATACAAAAATCTCAGGTATCCTCTTCGAATCGAAAGAATATGTTGCACTTGGGTAATATGTGACGATAGCCATCGAGGTAGGGTCTTCGTGCATGGGCAGTCACCCGATAAATCTAGCAGCGATGCGCCGTGTGTTATGCGAACCAGACGGGGATCGTGGAAGGCAACACCTCGGAGGAGGAATAAATCGGATCGCGCGGAGAAACGAGCCTCGGTGACAGGTATTGTTATAATCTGTGACGCGTCGCGCGGCTGCGAGAATCAATGGTAGCCACAATAACTTCTTTATTGCATAACAGTAACTTACTTCTTTCGGTCACGGTGAATGCCGCCGCCGTGCGCCTCTCTTTAGTCCTTGTTACTTCATTTATCACCGGGGATCGGTGGCGTGGCCCGTGGCACGGGCTTTATGCTTCTCGAGCCCGGACTACTTTGCGCAATCGAGCGCAAGGACGCGCGAAACCTGTAAAATTAATCCCGAATTACACGTGAAACACGTTTATATTCGCATTATCGTTCTTTCGATTCAATTCTGAGCATTTCTTTAACCGATGATATTAACCACTTGACATACAATGACGTCTGGGAGACGTCATTTACTTCATGTGCCATTGTAGACTTTGACGTCTCCAAGACGTCAAGAACTGTATTCGGCGAACGCCGTGCATTTCATTATTAGATTCTTTAATTGTTTCGGTCGTGCATTGATGCTGTTTTGTTTAGACTGTTGGAGATGCTTTCCCCCTCCTAACAGTACCGATAAACAAAATTGCATCGACAAATAAAACCGACCTGTGTTCTGGAGTATAATCGTGGAATGGGAGGTGTAGACAAGCAGGACCAATCTCTTGCATGTTTCCCCCTCATGAGAAAATGTGCAAAAGGATATAAAAAAATATTTTTTTATATGTTTGATGTAGCTATTTATAATGCTTATGTTTTATATTCCAAATTGCCTACTTCACAAAAGCAATCGATTGTGAATTTTCGATTGAATATTGCAGAAGACATGCTTTGTAATTTGTCCCTGCCGGACTATCCGACACGCGGCAGACGGTCGCAAAGTGAATGCCCAACTCGGTTACAAGCAAAATATTGGACACATTTTCCTGAACATATACCCGCGACAAATAAAAAGCAACATCCTGCAAAAAGATGCCATGTTTGCGTAAAACATAATATAAGAAGTGAAACAACTTGGCAATG